GGAACTGCACAGTTATGCAGTCCTGTCATATGACTTTAGTGGAATGTGTCTGGTAACAAGTTCTTGAGAAGTTATCAGCTGTTCAGTACTCAACTCTTAAGGCGGAGGAATAAGCTTTACTTTTTTAGCTCTCTATGGGTGATTGTGAACGTTAATATAGACTTTGTTTAAGTATGTTATGGCCTAAGTATGTCCTGGACATGTGAGAGGAAGCTGGATGTAGCTGGTGTTTCTCCTACTGTTAATGTTTGGTTGAGTAGCTCTGACATGGTTCTTTTAGATCCACTACACTTTAGAAGCATGAAAAACCTTCCTGGTTTTTAGACTTTCCATCAGCTCCAAACAAGTGCGTACCTTTATATAAACTGCCGTTTATAAATAAAGCTTTATTTACTTACACCAACTGTACAAAAGACTTATTATTTTTATTGAGTAGTACTTCCATACATTGCTTGTGGCTTGCTTTCTTGAATACGTGTACTTAGGTCAGTGCTGTGATGTAACCACAGGCTCTACTGTCGTCTTCTAATGTTATCAGCGAACAACCACTGGTACAACCTTTAGCTTTATGAAACAGCGTCACGGCCACCAGAAAATCTTCAGCCTCATCACGAGGTGGTTGTGCAGTTGTTTTCAAACAGTGCATGCTAAGTGTTGGAGCATGTGCTCATGGAGAACGATAACTGACTTTTACATGAATGTGAAATAATCCATAGGAAGGTGAATTTTATTTGTGCCGTGGGACCTTTCAGGGTGTAGACTTCAGCTTCTTCCTATTAAACATTCATCAGCAGTTTTGAAAGATTGAACAAGTCCATGCATCGTCTGTTCTAGAAATACTCCTGTGTGGGGTTTGTGCCCGTAGACAGATATATGGCACAGGGTGACGGCCTGGCCAGGCAAGCAAAATTCACCTGCCTCTCAGATTTATTGGAGCATTTAGAGTCTGTAGCTGATGAGAGTGCTGCATGCACTGTGAAGGCAGGGTGGGTGGGAAGCCCAGTGTGTCTGTAATGAAATTGGTCATAACTGGTGCTTTGACAAGAAAATACTGCTAGTGTCTTTGCTGTATGACTTATGTCCGGCCTTGTAAGTCCAAAAAATGTGTAATTAATTGGCCATTTACGTGTGTCAGCGTTGTATGTGAGGCAGGCGTAGGTGAAGACAATTCAACTATAGCCCTGAAATGTCTTCAAGCAGTAAGAAGATATTTCTGTAGGTATTATGATCTTCTTATGGACATTTGGGATTCTTTTGGTTTAGGTGTTTTGTTCACATGTTTTAGACTATATGATTGACTAATAAAAGATTGGAAATTGTTGTCAGGGGCCACCCTCATGTCACAGTTCATTGAACTTGCAGTATTATTCTGGTGTCTCTCAAACTCTGGGTTAATGTTGGATCATAATCCAATGACCAGTGAAACAGAACGGCCCAGCCACCACTAGGTACAACTTATCCTGTTTTTGAACATGAGATGTATTGATGTATTATACTGCACATTTCAGCCTAACACAGTTAAATGTTTCAGTTACTGAAACTGGTCTTGTTTTTATTATTTACAGACTGTAGTGAAATCTTAGACGAGGCGTAGGCTCTGTTAGTAAGTGTTGCTCATCTCTAAAATGATGTGAAAGTGAATGATCGTGGAGCAGGAAGTGATGTCAGCGGCAGACGTGCTGGATGGCTGGCTCACTTCTCATAAAGATGAGGTCATTCATCTCTCCCTCATCTCATCCCCATCTCTCTGTTTGTACCACAGGCTGCTCTTTCCCTCTGACTCCAGGAAGGGTATATAGTACATGAGAGAGCAGCTTTGTACTGACTGACCACATTGATATAACCCACATGAGACTCCCTAATCTTTACTGAATGACACAAGATTATTTGCACTTTTAAAAAGACATTGCTGTTGTAGTTTTTGAATAGTTGGTGATTTGTACCGTTTGCTGTCTTGTTGTCCTCACAGAGAAAGCCTTTTGATCTCACTGAAACGGACCAAATTTACAGCTACAATATGGGCTTTCAGGCTTTCTATTGTTCTTCTCTCCCCTTCTATCTGTCCTCTCTGTCCATATACTCTCCCTGCCCTCTTTCTCGCCATCACGTCATCTAGCTGTGGGCTGCTGGTAACCATGGAAACCAGCCGGTTTGCTCTCCTTCAGTCAACATTAGTACACATCTTTTGCCCCGTTTTCTTCCCTTTTCCTCTCAGTCTTTTTGGATTGGACATATTCAAAACTGCATGCTGGTGTGTGGTTTGTTTTTATTTTTTGGCCACATGTGAGGGGAAGTGGGAGTGTCAGGGGGAGTGTTTGGTATTTTGTTCAACATCAGCACTGAGGCTTTTTGAAAGATGTCCACTGCTGCTTAGTTACCATTGAGGACATATGTGTCTGAAACTGTGTGCATTCAAAGACCGAAACAGGAGGTGTTGTATCATAATATATTAAAATATTGGCCCTAATTTTGTTCACTGTACAAATGATGATGTGTGTGTGCTCGGTTGTTTTGGCACTATTCAAAAACATTCAAAGCATATTGAGTAAGATTGATGATTACCACCTGGAGCTACATAAATAGACTGCTCTACCATGTGGTTTGCATACAACACCATGCAACATAGAAAGTGGGGCATAAACCTTGCATCAGAGTGACTTTTGTCTACTGCCATGTCTTTTACAACATTACTTCAGTATTACTGTCCATTTATGGTATTGGTTCTGTTCATGCAAAGATGCCTTTGTGCTGAGGGTTTTCTCTATTTCTCTTTTTGTTTTATCTGTTTCATTCTTGCCTTTGTGCTCACAGGCTGTTGTCAGCCATACTATGCATAAGACACCTTTTTAATCTTCTGCATAGAAAGATTTTTGAAGGACCATTCAATGACTTTACACAATCTTTTTAGTAGTGGCAGTTAAGGGTGTGGTCCTCCTGATTCTCCCATCCTCTGAATTAGACAGTAAATGGCTGATGTGACATGTAGTTGGTGGGTTTGGTGGAAGCACACCTGCTCACTGACACACCCACACCACATCAAAGCTGCCTCTGTGCCTCAGCTCCCCTCACCTGCAGCTTGCCTCACCTGCTTGTACACTTTCTCAGACATGCTAGCACACCTCGCCCTCCCCTCTAGTTCTCCAGACTTGCGGCAGCCAGGCTGTCAGAGGAGTAGATAACCTCCTGCTAACCTTGAGCTGTAATAAGCCCTGCTCCTGTTGTCATGGGGATTCAGGTGGGCAGAGGGAGACGAGGGTTTCAGTGCTCAACACTGACCGAGAGGGCGCAGGGGGCACAGGCTGGGCTGACAGATTGTACCCCCCACCCCCTTCATATTGGCACCTCAAAGCCTTGCCTGCCTGACAGCTTGTCTGGCTTCTCCTGGCATTAATGGTGGGGTTTGCTGTGTGCAAGCACAGGAGGGCTGGAATCAAGGAAATATTGTATTACCATTAGAAGAAAATAGCATTTTTATCAGACATTCATGAATTCAGTGTCTTTTTTCTTTTGTGTGTTCTTTATGCAATTTTCTTGTCTTTCTTCAGTCTGTTTTTTTTTTTTTTTTTTTTTTTTCTCTAAGTGTAGTGCATAACTAGAGCAGCCATCCAAAACGGTCCCTGAAGAAGTAACCAGTGTTTAAATGAAATGTCTGGTCATTGAAACTGCAGGGTTAAGCTTTTCTTTTCATGAAGGGATATTCCAGCGATTTATCGGTGGATATGTCAAAAGCTGGGAGACTCACAAGAGACAGCAGCAGAGGCCAAGATACTCTAACTCATTATTGTGGGTCAAACTCGTGCTCCAGAACCAAAGAAAACATACAGCTGTTTTCACAGACCAAGCAGTACACTAAAATGAGTTTTACAGTCCCGAATCAAAGTATTGCCTTACACTACTTAGAATAGAATTACAAGATTGCATGTATATATACGCTTAGTGGAACATTTTTGCTAAAAAAAGGAAGTGTAATAAATAATTTACTTTTCTGCACCCTCATGAGAATCTAATTAGATGGAGAATAAAAGCCTGAACCATTGACACTAACGGACTCAAGCCTCATTAATAACTCTTGGTAAATTGAACTGCTGCTGAGGCTGCAGTCGTAAACCAGACCTGTATGTGAATGTGTATGTGTATGTTAGCCGTGTGTGTTGTGAAGTGTGTGGGTTTCCCCTCATGGCAGTCCGGGAGACAAAAACAGGAAGAGTAAAGATGGCCTCTTTTCTCCCCACTTTCGGCTCTGCCTGTGTAGTCTATTGTCTGTCCTATCTGGACATCTCTCTTCACATATTTGAAATAGTAGGGCAGATACACACCTCTGCTTCCACCCCCACCATCTTTGTGTTGGCCTTCGGGAAGCTCTGGTGTCTTTAAATATCTACTTCTCTGTCTGCAGACTTTGTGCACGAAAAAGAGATGAACCGGAGCGAAAAAGAAGTATCCAGATGCTTATTCTCTTCACAGGGATAACCCCGCTTCTCCGTGATTTATCTGTCTGTCTGTCTTTCTCTTTGTATATTTAGGTGATGGTAGGATGTACGCTGACTCTCATTTCCCCCACATCTACACCATGGGGAGTCATCCCTTCCCATTATTTGCCCACAGCAACAAGAGCTCATTATAGGAGCCAGACAGATGTGTTCTTGATTTGTGTGTGTGTGTCTGTGTGTGCTGTGTGTGTCTGTGTGTGTCTGTGTGTGTCTGTGTAAAAGAGAGAGAGACTGTGTTTTATAATATTGTTATAGACGGTGCTTAGACTATATTTATGCATGCCAAGCTTTTCTATTATGCGTTAAGCTTGATAACTCAGTCTGAATGTGTGAAAAGCATGTAAAATTTACACCTTTGTCTGACACGTTTCCTGAACATGCTCATTTTCTGTCTTTGTTTTACAGTGTTGAATACAACTCCATTACTCACACCGTGTCTCGTGGCACTTTAACAACTATCTTGTCTGCTAATCAGGAGAACTAATTATGGGTCCTCTTTGTCTGTTTCAGAAATCGAGCGATAGCCGATTATCTACGTTCCAATGGATATGAAGAGGCATATTCCACTTTCAAGAAGGAGGCGGAATTAGATAATGTGAGTAGATTAAGGGTGGACACACACATCTGCACAGCCAATCAGACCAATTTAAACAAACAATGTGCCTTGATTTCCACTTAATTTGTCATTTTAGTTAACATGTTCATGAATGTGACCGGGAGCACCTGCACCCAATTATGGTGGTCTGTCTGATTAGGGGTCTGTGCTACATCCTCCTGCTAACTGATCTTGACAAAAGCTTTTATTCACTTGTAGACACCATTGTGATGTGTATACTGTTATGTCGGGTTTGAATATGGTATTAGGTGGACCTAGATGTTCTGAAGCAGTCCAATACAATGTTTATGCCATAAAGTCTATAAAGTACATTGTCTTAGAGGCATTAATTGTTATATTTTAGCATTGAAGTCATAGTTAGTGATGGTGTTGTGTTAGACTGCATTATACTGAGAGGTTTTCCTAATATTCTGCTCCCCTCATGTAAACAGGGCAGGACAATAAAATGGAAACCAATCTCAGTATAATGTTGTCCAGTCCAACACCACCTTTAACTATGACCTCAGGAATAGACATATAATTACATTGACCTATAATAGACATACCAACTTTAATAAAGGTGGAATTAATGGGATAGCCGTGGTATTGATTGGGATAGATTGTGCAGGTGTACCTAATAAAGTGGCACCACACCCCAAAATGAAGCTTCATTCTGTTTTTGCCTTCAGCTCCACCTCAAACTGCATCTGGTCCATGTTCTTGTCATTTGTCCTTTTGTACCTTTCCACTTCTTTTTGTCCCTTACTCAGAATATTCCTGTGCAACCATTTTAGCAGTGAACGATCCATAAAAGAAACCAAACAAATAAACACATTGGATTTTAAGTGAAACGATGACTATGAGTAATGTGGCAACATTTGCTTTAATTTTAGGTTGTTTACGTCCACATCAGATTTTTTTTAAAATAATAATAAATTAAGTCATTTTTAATATTTACCCTTAATCCTTTACTGTGGTACTCCACCAGGTGTACTTTTTGCACGTTGTGGTGGCTTTTAGCTTTCAACTGAACGTTTTGTTAAAATTAAAACATGTTGTGGCAACGAGTATTTTAACAAATATACATAACAATTATTTTCCTAAAATTTGATCCCTGTGCTTCCAAAGTTTGAGGAGCTCCAGTGCTTGTAGGCAAACTGTTAACCCCTACTCCTTTTTGTTTGTAATGTTATTTCTGTTTCATCTGAACTCCTTTTCATCTAAGACTCTTTTTCATCTCACTCTTTTTCTTCTCACTCTCTGTTGCACCTCTTCTTTCACCTTGTGTTCACGTGACACCCCACCCCCTTCTCCTCTGTCTTTATTTGTTCGTCTTCCAGACGTTTTCTCTGTGGCAGCCCTATGGAAGCAGGCTGAATAATAGATGAATGGCACGGAGGGATAGGTGCACCCTGTTGGGTATTACCATTCAGCCACGCACACACCTTGGCAGCACCATGCTAAACAACTATGTCATTTTTAGCACCATTACCCTGAGGCTACGTTGTTAGAAGTTCATTACCAAGACCTTTTTTTTCAATGTCTTTTAGATTTTGTCCAGAGTTAATTTAGTGTTTTGTATTTACTCTGGCTCTTTGAGTAACATTTTAAGTTTAATGTTTGTGCGGTGGTGTGCTTTAGCAGGTTTTCATAGTGGGAATAATTCATCGAGGTCACGCTTTCGTCTTTTATTTGCCTCATAAAAGAAAATGTCCATAGCCGAATGGACACACAAACACACGCAGGCCCTCTTGACTACCCACTGTCTAGAGACTGGCAGGCTGCTGTGTAGTCTGGCACTGTGTGTGTGTGTGTGTGTGTGTGTGTGTGTGTGTGTGTGTTGTGTGTGTAGATGTGTGTGTCTGTCTTTGTGTGTGTTAGTGTAATGGGCAGAGTCTCCAAGCAGATGGCAGATTAGATGATGGCAGACTTGTCCATATTGGATACCCTGCTCTCCCTCTAAGTTTTCATCTACTCCATTTCTCTGCAGTGCCTCACTTTGCATCTTTGTCTTTTTATACTCCCCATGTTAGTCTGAGGAATCACCTCTTGTCATTGAGAAGTGTTAAATGTAGGAGTTGGTGGTGCCTGCGCGCTCTCCACACCTCTAGGATATCTGCTTTTGTTTCCAGCTGAGTCTGAGAAGCTAGCTGTGAAATTGGAGTGCAACGCTAATTTTCTCCCTCACTGACACTCATGGCTGTCTGTCAATGTGGGTTTTTGATGCTTTGATAACTAGTAACCGCCTAAAGGCATTGTTAATCACACAGTGGCACCAAAACTGGTGTATTGGCTGTATAGAATAAGACCACACAAAACAAATCTTCACTTTCTTGGGTTATTTATTTATGAATTTATTTTTCAGTATTTTTTATTGAGTTTTTTGGTTTTAATTAGAGCTGAGAGAATTGGTTATTTTTCTCCAGCAAAAAAGCCCAAATAATCCCTGGTTTTAGCTTTTCAGGTGGAAAGACTCGCTGCTTCTCTTTGTCTTACAGGATAGTAAAATTAATCCTTTTGATTATAGATTGTTTGGACAAAGCGAGTAATTTATTACATTTTCTGGAGCAAACGATTAGTCAGGTGAATGAGGAAAATAACCATCAGGTCATTGGATGATGAAAGTAAATGTTAGTTGCAGCTGGGACTGGAATTTTGTAATTTTAGGGGCAAGGCCAATTGATCTGCAGTGGGGCAGTTTGACCAGATTCAAGGCCCCTTGACACATTGCATTCTGGGTAGTGGTCATTAGGATGCACCTGTTTGTTAACGTCCATAGCTTGAAGCAACCACAAACACAGCTCAACTGAGAAGTATGAAAAGAGGAAAGCTTCCATGGCGTTTGCACTGTAGGTCGACATAAAGATAAGATGTTCCATTATTGATCTCCGTCGGAGAAATTCAAGTTTGGCACAGCAGCAGGGGAAATGTAGTGCAAACAGCAAATATAATACAATTACAATATAATGAAGAAAAAATAATCTAGAATCTAAAAAATATAAATATACTATATACAATAAAGTTGAGTATGGATAACTGTACATGTGCGTTGTTACAGGGCATTGTGCAAAACAACAAGGAAAGGCAGATAGCAGGTTAATGGTTAACGGTTCAATCATTGTTCAACAACGTGACAATTAACGTTACCAAATTGTTTTGTCTCTTTCTTGGCCGTAAGAAACCGGAGGACTGTATGTGCCATGAAGTCTGTTATGTAAAAGGTAGTGGCCAGCTTGTGGTATTAGCCTGCAGGTGGAATCAGGCTTCCGTCTGCTAGGACTGCCACAAGTTAACTTCCACCGCTGCCTCCAGTACGGGGTGTGTGGCTGTAAGCTGCCTAAGCCTTTCTTGTCTGCAGGAGATTAGCTTGTGTGAGAAGGATTAGGACTATGGTGTGTGTTTTCTTTGTGTAATATGTCTGTGTTTATGTGTGTGTTGTACAGTAGGTTGGTGGTGTCTGGCAGTCAGTGTTGGCCTGTGAGGGGTGTGTAAATAATTCCCTGTTCTTTCTTGCTATAGCCAAAGACCTCAGCATGCCACCCCAGCTGGCCCCCCTCCCACAGGCCTGACTGATTATGCTGAGCCCACGACTTTGATTGGCTTTCTTTGCATGTTTTCCTGATATCCTTTTTTTTCTCTACAGAATGAAGAATTGGATAAGAAGTACGCCGGCCTTTTGGAAAAAAAATGGACTTCAGTCATCAGATTACAAAAGAAGGTTTGTGGGTTTTTTTTCCTCCTCAAAGAATGCTTGTGGGGATTGTAGTCTTGTGAATGGTTCGTGACATTACTGCTGAATCCACTGTTAACACTAAAAGGAAGTCTACCAAGAATTAAAAAGCATTAAACCAAATAAATAATAACAAATAATAATCCCTTAAAAGTCTATGCTTTGTGAATCTATAAATCCCCCCACTCCCCGGTGTAATTATCCATACATGTACATATTTCCGCCTCCACACTGTTAACTTGTACCTGTGCACTCTGGGCAGGTGATGGAACTTGAATCCAAACTGAATGAAGCGAAGGAGGAGATCACTCTGGGTGGGCCCGTAACTCAGAAGCGCGACCCCAAAGAGTGGATCCCACGCCCACCAGAAAGGTACGCGCTGAGTGGCCACCGCAGTCCAGTCACCCGCGTCATCTTCCACCCAGTCTTCAGTGTCATGGTGTCTGCTTCTGAGGACGCAACAATAAAGGTCAGTGCTGCCAGGTGGTGGGAATGGTGGTTTGATAATGACACTGGCCTTCAAATTGTGCTGTGGAACTAATATCCTTCACCTTTCTTTAATGTGAAATGACATTTAAATTTTTCCAGGGTTTTAAATCATGTTCTGTAGAGAGCTCAGAGTCTGCGGGTTATCCAAATGAAAGCTGCATCAAGTGATTTCACTGATTAGTTATCGGCTGAAGTACCTAATGAAAATCTGCAGTTGTGCTTCTCCTTTGCACATGATCAGATAACGGATCTGTTGTGTGCATCTATTGATGCTTGTTTCATATTCAACATAACCATGTATTGTGTATACTTTACGTCAGTCCACCTCTCGGTACACTTCACAGTTTCCAAAGCCACAGTAGATAATGGTAACATGGATGATAATCTTTTACAAGTCTTATGATGACCTGGAAACATTTCAGTTTTCCAGGGATGGAGACCAGCTGCCACGCTTATCTGACCTTGATCTGGAGTTTTTAGGATCTTATTCACAGTGGACATGTAATTGCTGAAATGAAGCATCGTAATAAAGTGATCAAGGAATAGGATAAGATTTTATTTTTTGCTTCAGAGTTCAGACTAATATGTAATTCAGTGAAATGGTGTCAGCTGACTTGTTGTCAGACATTAATGATAAGACAAAAGTACTGATGTCAAACTGAGGTCACAAACGCGTTGTGTTGCAGAGTTTAAAATGAGGTTATTCATAAAGCAAAATTTTACCAATAAGATCATAGCTGTTGATGGCAAGTCTCACTTAAACATCTCATAGACTGGTTAAATACCCCGAACAGTTAGCAGGCAAACAGACTTAAATGCATTTCATTCAGTTTCCCCTCATCTGCTCGATAAACTGACAAGTAAATATTTTTCCTTCCTCCTTCCTTGAATTTTCCACTTAAAGGATGAACAGACCACCTGCTCCCTTGCTTTTGTATCAACAAAAAAAAGTTTTTATTCTTCTCCATTAATCAGTCCCTCCAGAAAAACGTTTTTTTGTGATTGTTGCGGGGCAAAATCCTTGATTATGCAGCACGTTTTCTTAAAAAACGCGATGGAATATGCGGCAATTTATGCGATGAAATTGCGGGAACTTGCAAAAATTGCGGCTTCAACGCGGGTTTGCAGCTTTTCGATGACGTTTAGGTCGTGTAATTACGTCACTTCATAACGTTCCCATGGCAACAGGGGGAAATGGCTGCTCGTGTGAAGTAAACGCAACATTTTTCAACTTTCTGCTAAGATATATGTGACTTTTTTGCAACGAAAATGCGGGGATTATGAAATCTTGCAAGCCCCACATATTTTGCGCGGAAATCAGCAATTTATGCGGCGAAAGTGTGGCGTATTTGGAAAAAATTCAGCCCCCGCATAAATATGCGGACTTTGGCTGATTATGCATTGAATTATGCGATTGCATAATCGCGTTTTTCTGGAGAGACTGATTAATTCAATATGTGCTGCCATTGCTTTCAGGGAATGTAAACAAATCTCAGCTGTGCCGAATGTCCGGTTGCTATAATAGCAACTGATGTATAAATACAGAGTTCTCTCAGCCCACACATTGTCACATGACACTTTGATTTAAGTATAAATAGTAGAATATGTACAGTAGTCTTACAGTATACTTACTTTATGTAAGTATGCTAATGTTTTCATTGACGAGGTTTGGATTAAAACAGGCATTTGTACTTGTGAGAAATGTTCTGAACATGTTCATTACAGTACAGTATGCTGTATCAAAGACAAAAAGACCTCGGAGAGTCTTTGGATATTGGCCAACTAAGAATGAAGACATACAGGATTTAGTTCAAAGTGATAAAAACACATCATCTAGCTTCAGAGACTGACTGCACTGTCCCTTTGTTTGTTTTCACACATCCTGCCCACATTACAGTAATACGATTCAGGTTTAAAATCAACAGAGTGCTCTTTTTTAATTTAGTGCCAGCTTGGTGGCAGCTCTACCACACACAGCTTTTGCTCCCTCTGTGAATGCTGCTCCCCTCTCCTCCTCCTTTCCATCTATTACACTCCTAAGCATTGCCTCCACTGCTCTAACTCTCCTTCCTAGACACGCCCTGGATTACATGTCTCTTGTTCTCTCTGTTGTCTATATATCTCTGGATTCCTTAAACTCCATAGTCTGTCTCTGGGCTATTTTTGCAGCAGCCGCTCTCCCTTGTCTCAGTGCACAATGCCAATACTCTGTTGAGCTGTTTGTTCTGCATATTTTATTCATGAGACAATAGGAGACACATGTACATCTCCTCAGCTACACCCACACAGCAGGGATTCCTTTCTCTGTTTTGGCATCTTCTCCCTTTTTTCAACCCCCACCCCTCCCTCCCACTGCAACCCCGCCTCCTAGCATCCTGCTTCATTTATCTTCCACCTAAAGCATCAGCTGCCCACCATCAGAGCCATCCATACCTCAGGAGGAGGCAGGTCTTGCCTTCTTGCACCTCTTGTACTGGCTGCCTTGTCTATTAGTTGCCTGACTCCCCCTGTGTCCTACTTTTCTGCTCCTGAGCAGCTCTGTTAAATTTTTAACTGAGGAGTAGACCTTGTGCTCTCTACTCTGTTGCTGACTGAGAGGCTCATCGGCTTTCCACCTCCATGCCAGTGAGGCTGCCTAGCCTGATAATCAGACTGTACTGCCATCTTGTTTCATTTCATTAATTTCAGCATTGTGATCTTTCAAACGATGAAAGATGACGTAGACATTCTTGCCCACAAAGCTCTGATAAGTCAGTTGTTTCTCTACCCAGTGTAAACAGGTGTCAGCGGTGACAAGCAGTCGCTTCCCTTTTTCGTTGAATCCTCTTGCTATTTCTATTGTCATCAGCATGTAGTGTGTTAAATGTCACAGGTTTGTGTTGTCCTCACTCCTTTAGTTTTGCCATTCTCTGGTCCTCATCTACCTCCCCTCTACTTTTCCTTGTCCTCTCTCCTCTACCAACATGGCAGATCTTTGCATGGCAAGATGTTACCTTGAGTTTAGCTCTAACCTTTCACTGTATGTAAATCAGCAAGCCCTAGGAGTAGCACTGTGCTCACTCAGACATGTCAACCAGAGGCTAGGTTACTTTAAACAAGGGCAAAGAACTTGGGTGTGAGATCACTCGTTGCTTGCCTCATGAGTGTCGCATACAAAGAAGGTCTTTGTATTATTGTTGGCATTTTGGATGACGGATTCAAGTCACTTTCCCTGTAAGAATGTAAACTATTAATCATCATGAAATGGGGCATGTTTTTTGGTTTCTACTGTAACAATCCCCTGAAGGAGGGCCAGTAGGAACAATTGGTGATACAGCATTGATTACAGGTAGTTAATGGGTTATTTTTCCTTTTTAGATGGCGCTGCTGAATACTGTTTTATCTTTTGTAGACTGTTTAACCTGGTGTACCTCCAGACACATTAGCTGCATTTATCTTCTCCAGGATAACCACCACCCCCCCTTGCACTTTGTACCTTGCGGCCATCTGCACTGTCTGTACCTTCATTCAGGGGGGAGAAGAGGGGGGTCTCCTGTCACCGTCTGCCCAAAATCCCCCACCCCAAGAGGGGACCCAAGGAGGGTTTATCCCTCCATGACAAACCGTCTGCCTGAAACCCAGAGACGTAACAGCTTTCTCAGGGTAGAAAATCAGGCTTACTACTGTTCACTCTATATTCTGTCTGTGCTCCAACTGGCAGCGCCATACTTAACACAATAAACTGTCTCACTGTTTTTATCAGGACTAACTGTAACCCTAATCGGCATCCTGGCACATGCATCCTTGCCATTAGCAACCGTAATGCGTCACAGATTCTGTAATTCAATATACCGTACAAAGAGTGTGTGGTGTCTGCAAACTGAGGCCTGTAATGAGCTCTTAAGAGGAATGTCATTGCAGTACAGTCATTTTTAATAATTCTGCCATCAGCACATCTTATTGTTGGGACAGTAACATGGCTTCTCTGAACAGCTTGGTTCTCTCCCCTCTGCTTGTTTTGGCTGCTGGACTGTTCAGCTGAAAGAAAAGGTGACATGGGGCCACAGATGATGTGACATTTGGGGGCTTTGCTGGTGTTTGGAAAGGGATTCAGTTTGATATGGAACAGGGTGTTTCAGAGGAATATATTATGATTCTTCTGTTATTTGTAGATTTCTCTAAAGCACGAATATATTCTCTCTTCCAGGTGTGGGACTATGAGACAGGAGACTTTGAACGCACACTGAAGGGCCACACAGATTCGGTGCAGGACATCTCTTTTGACCAGACTGGCAAACTGCTAGCATCCTGCTCTGCAGACATGACTATCAAGTTGTGGGATTTCCAAGGCTTTGAGTGTATCAGGACCATGCATGGTAAGAACATCTAAAACAGCCTCAACACTTTTTGGCAAGAAAAAAAAAAAAAACTGAAATATGAGCATTGGCAGTAGATTTGCATCTTTGCATCACAGCTGCTATGTGAACATACTCTGTTATGGTTTCCACGTCATTGCTGTATAAATGTAGCTTGTGACTGTGAGCAGGGCTCAGGTGGTGCAGATGCTGTTCATTATCACATCTGATGCTGCTGACGAGCCTCAATCTGCTCCAATTCACAGCACCCGACACTGAGATTTCACGACCAGTTCTGACAAATGGACTGTTTTAGCCATCTTGTCACTGTTGGTACCCACAGTACTCCCCACCACAATATACCACTACAGGCGCCAATTACAATCCTTTGAATTGGTTAGAATATTTTTAATAAGGCTATCTACATTATTTTTTACTTATCTAACAATCTATTATGCCATTCTTCATGTCATCATTGAAGTAGTCCTGGGGCATACACCCCCTCTTTCACACCCTAATTGCCAAGTAAATGATGGCTGTATAGTCTACATGCGCCCTCAGGCTCTTCTGATTTTAAGAACCAGTGTTTGAATCATTTCTTTCACCATGTTGGAATTGTGGGAAGGCCTCCCCCATCAACCACCACCACCAGCAGCAGCCCAAGCAATATGAAGCCTCAGCATTTCTCATTTTGTTATCCCTTTGGTAAGCCTGCTAGAAGTGCCCATTAACGTCTGACTGTGAAGGAGACGTGAATGAATATCCATGAAATAAATAAGCCTACTTAGCGCACAGACAAGAGGCGCTCTGGCATTCTTCAATTTATGCTGGAGTTGTAAATCCTGCATTTTGTGCAAGTGAGCAACAGATTTCACTGGTTGCCACTCTTTTTTTGCTGTAAACGGGGGTGTGCGCTCCTGGCACACTTCCTCAAACAGACGAGCCGCTTTCACACTCTGCAGAAAAACATGCAAGTGCACAGATCACCGTCTGAAACCAGCTATTAAACTGAGCGCGCTGTCTAGTTTTGTTCCCCTTCATTTCCTCTCTATACTTCTTTTTACTACAATCTCCATTCACTTTTAATTCATCTCCTCAACCTTTCCTTTTTTCTTCAGGCACTCCTTTTTTTTTTTACATCTTAAAAAAAAACATAAGGCCAACTGGTGAAGTAGATTAGTGCCGATTTGGACAGCAGTTTAATTATCCTCTTCAGCACCAGATAGCACTTTTCTGTGTAGCAGCCACCCATTATTATAGCCTGATGGCATGTGTATGTACACACACACACACGCACACGCACACATACACGTACACAGAGTGTTAAGCTGGCCTTTTAGAGTATACTTACTGTTGTCTTCATCTGTTTAGCAGCTTAAATATGGCCCAGTGTCTAGGTAATTAGGCATCTCTTATTCTCTGTGGAACAAAGTAAGCCCCGGCAAATTGGCTGCCTCGCTTGTCATTTAATTGGCTAATTACGACCAAACCCAACGTTTTTTGGCACTGTTGGTGGCTGGAGACTTGTAAAAAAAAAAAAATCATTGCTGAATCTTGATTCCTGTGATTCCCCCGTTTAAAGAACGATGTATTAAAGGGATTGTGTGTGGTCATCTGAAATGATTGGTTTATGTTTTACACTAGCTTCAAATGTTGCGTTGGGTCGTGTTGCTCGGAAACCTTTACAATGGTTTCTGGCTCTAGCTGAGATCTTGTTTTTGTCCTTTTTGTTTTCCAGGACATGACCACAATGTTTCGTCTGTAGCCATCATGCCCAATGGAGATCACATCGTTTCTGCCTCAAGGGACAAAACCATGAAAATGTGGGAGGTGGCAACTGGGTACGTACCAAAACCACTTAGTTTTTTTAAGGATGACGTGTTTGACGGTCACAACCACTCTGACAACATAACTCCTTTACTGTTTTCTGTACATTAGCTACTGTGTGAAGACCTTCACGGGCCACAGGGAGTGGGTCCGCATGGTGCGGCCCAACCAGGACGGCACACTGCTTGCAAGCTGCTCCAACGACCAAACGGTGCGCGTGTGGGTCGTGGCCTCCAAAGAGTGCAAGGCTGAGCTGCGAGAGCACGAACATGTGGTGGAGTGTATCTCTTGGGCACCGGAGAGCGCCTACCCCACCATCCAAGACGCCACAGGCTCTGAGGTAAAAGACCACTGTTTCCCCCAAAAACAACTCTGATCATCTCTCAAATCTGTTCAGCTGTGCACGCCTTTTTATTACACAAACTATATTCTCAGTCATACACTAAACTATATGCGAGGGTGGATTTACAGTTACACTACAGAGTTCAATGTGAGGTATTCAGACTAATGTTCAGGTGTTGTACAGTGGGATTAATCACAGCAGGGCAGACAGTGGACCAGTGGGCATTCACTGGTAGAAAAATAGGTGGGACCAGAACCCAGAACCAGTCATTATTGTACAACCAAATGCTGCCAGTCACACACAAAGCGTGGTGAAGGAGCTCATGTGTATGCTTGAGTGAATGCAGACCCTAACAGGTAAACTCATGGTTATGTACCAAGGCAAACAAAGTTGGATTGAGTTCACTGTGGTTTTCTCATTATCAGATGAGGGAGAGTGTGTTCCTTCTCTACATGCATAGCAATGTCAGTGAGTCTCAGACTCACAACCATGTGAACAGACCAGCTTGAAATGAAGAGTGTGTGCATGAATACTGACGGAATATCAGCATGGCCTAGAGTCAGCCCAGACTCCCTCCTCATGCCTTGTGATCTGAAGTGTGTCCAATTGTAGCCTTGTCAGATTAAAACAATATTTGCCCCTGCAGCAGTTGTCCCAGTCTAACCTGTGAGCAGTGAAAAACAACCCTCCCTGATTTTGGCTGTTTTGTTTCATAACTAAAATGAAAGGAGCACAGTACTGCGTAGTACTGTAGTACTAAGTTGGATAGTACTGCCAGATAAATGGCAGCTGATGGAGACGTGACGCCAGAGAGACAGATGTCGGCACACAGATGTTGGCACATGTGCTGTCAAACTAGTTGTCAGCAGTCGATTATTTAAAAATGAAATGACTTTTACAGCAATTTGTAGTATTTGGTCTTTGATACTACTTGTATAATGTTGAGACTTAATGCTTTTGACAAAAAGGCTTCCATTTGGATAAAGGTGTAATATTATCTTTAATTTAATGACTTACACACGTATTAGTTTTGTACTGCTATTCTCCATACTTATTTTTTTCTTTGTGCCCCACCAGTCCAAGAAGAGTGGTAAGCCAGGCCCCTTCCTGCTGTCTGGCTCCAGAGACAAAACCATCAAGATGTGGGATGTTAGCATTGGCATGTGCCTTATGACACTGGTGAGGACCATTTTAGGCTAATAGCCTCTGAGTAAAATATTTTATAATTTGTGTATAAATATGTGTATTTAAATATTTGGGCAAAGAGTGAAAGCTTTCTGCTTTATGAGTGAGATGAATTGGTTTGCAACTGGTGTCTTTAGCAATGTCTGTTTGTCCCACAGGTTGGCCATGACAACTGGGTGCGTGGCATCCTTTTCCACCCTGGAGGCAAGTTTATTGTGACCTGTGCAGATGATAAAACCTTAAGGATCTGGGACTACAAGAACAAGCGCTGCATGAAAACCCTGTGTGCCCACGAACACTTTGTTACCTCTCTGGGTAAGCAGCAAAAAAAAAAAGCTTCATCTTTGTTGTTGTTTGACCAGTCGGTCTCCTGAGGTGCTGCAGGAACCTCTTTATTCCACGCCCATTGGACAGTGGAGCTGGTTTCACAAATATCTGCTTTAGCCAAGGGTTGAATAATTGTAAAGGAGCCCAGTTTCTCTACCGGCAGTGTGTTGAGCGTCCTGAGGGTTGCTGGCAGCTGGGGTTTAAGAGGTAGACAAGCGCTCAAGGATTTTCCCGCCTCCCCCTCTTCGTATCTGCAGCTTTTCAGCAGATCAAGGCTCAGGGAACTCTCTTGAGGAGCTCCTCAGCCAACTTTTCCTTGGCAAGCCGTTTGAAACCTTAAATCCTGCTTCAACTAAAGAGGATATCGCTGTGAGCTATTGATGTGATGAATTCTGGAGCGGTGTGGAAAAGACAAAGCACCTTTTGTTAGAAATCATTGGAGAAAAACTGTATTATTTTCACCATTTTCTAAAAAGTATTGTCCTGTCTGCACACACACAACAGAGTTTTTCCTGCATAGAGAAATGCGAAGCTGCTGTCCGCTTCAGATTTTGTGCCGCCTCCACGTTTGTCTTCATGGAATACACTATTTTCTAGGTGTTGCATTTGGGGAATTTCTGTCATTTGTAACTGCAATTGTGACATCCCGTCAATGTGGTGGCGGCAGTGCTGTATCATAATCAGCACACAGCACCGGGAAAGGCGCTGCCAAAACTGTCAAACAAGAAGAAATTAGCTGCAATTTTGCTGCAAGTAGAGGAAGAGGCAGTGAGACGGCGCCAGGACCAGATTATCATAGTTTTTCAGTGAATTGATGATACTTCCATTGCTTGAACGATGTGCGTTCAGCCTGCGTTGGATCCGGTCAGTTGAGTCAGCTGTTACTCTCCACTTAACTTATTACACGACTTTTATTGTATACTTCTCAGAAAATATACCAGTAACCTCAATGGTGGGTACGGCCATGCTCACCAATAGTACTCAGTAAGAAATAAGGCTACTAAAGTGGACCAATAATTTATTTTGTTATTCTGTTTGACATCACTTTCATGCTAGCTTATTTGTGGGAGGGGGATTGTATGGTTTGTATTTTCCCTAACCCATCACTACTACTTGGTACAGCAATACTGCCAACGTCATTTTCAAGGGCTGGAAGGAAGGAATGCTGCAATGCTGCGTCAACATCATGGCCAACCAATAAGTTGTCAATTTTTCTTTCATTATTTTTTATGAATGCAGGTATTTGGTCCTCATTCCTGCCTACAAAGTTCTGCTTGGTTATTTTGTCTGCAGCCAGCAGAAACAGCCCTCAATGACTGCTATTTAAACTCAGATTCAGAAGCCAGGATCCGTTTCATATTGCTGGGAAACACTGATAAATGTGTGCAGTAGTGGTGCCGCACTAATTCTTTGGTGATTCTGATCTTCAAGGAGAGCTTGTTTCCTCCCTTTCACTTTGTTCTGATGATCTTTTGTTTCGTCCACAGATTTCCACAAGGCTGCTCCCTACGTGGTCACTGGGAGCGTAGATCAAACAGTAAAAGTGTGGGAGTGCCGCTGATTTGGACCTTGGAGGATTGGACCACCACCCCAATTACCCAGGCGCTCCTCTGGATCCCACCTTCCCCTCCTGCCATCCCAACCTTTCCTTTCATCCCACCTCCCCTCCCCTCCCCTCACGTAACCTAACCTAACCTAACCTAACCTAAACCTCACCCGCACATCATCATCTCCTCCGGCTGCACTTACCACCATGGTTATTTACCCATCGCTCTCTCTGGTCCAATAACTATTGTCCTTCTATGTAAATTATTCCTGGATGTAGATCGAGCTATTAAATGTTACACAAAAAAGTATTCTTGCATGGTAATCCAAAATTGTATACTGTAAATTTACATAACGTCTAGAAGTACCATAGGTTTACCACGGGGCTGGCCGTCTGTCACGCAGCCTTACCGACCAACCGAAGGCAGATGTTTTTGACTGGGTGTAAAATGTAGGGCACTAAAAACCAATAATTTAAGAAATGACAGTGTCTTTATGTGTAAGATTTATTTTTGTCTATTTTTTTATTTAGGATTTTTTTTTTTTCTTCTCTCTTTGTTATTTCTCTCCTTCACTGTCGTAGTCTGTTGGTGCCTAGCTTGGTGAAACTTTCAAGAGATAAGGCAGGAAAAAGCATATATGATGCGATAAGATACGATTGTCTGTGGGGCTTTGTTATTGAAATAATCTGTAGCTTTATAACATCACTTCTCAAGTGTGCATACCATTTCTCTTCATGTGGAACTAGGTAATATTTTAATGGCTGTATATACGAATGTTTCAAACTGTTGTCCTTGGACCTTGGGGGCTTAAAAAGAGCTTTGTACTCTTGTCATGGTGGCACGTGAACCACTGCTAGGCTTTAGATAAATTATCCCATTTAATGAATCTGCAGAGAAGAATAAGAAGTTGAAATGTTTAAAAGTGGCTGAACGTGAATAAACCGCACTGAGTTCGTTCACAAGAAGCCCAAAAAGTAGAGAGCAAGATTGTTTGGCTTTCACTGTCAGTGAGCGTCCTGGGTCACAGCAGCACCTGAGCAGAGTTCAGGGATTACACCTGTTTAATCTCTAGCACTTGATAAAGACCTTGGGTGTGTCTCCCTTTAGTAGACGATTTCCTGTGACCTTGCATGTCAGACTTTAGTTGAACCGAGGCCTCTGTCCACTTATAGTGCCCTGACCAGTCAGTCTTGGCAGGGTTTTGGTGTACCATAGGAATTGTGTGAAGTCGGGAGATGCTCAGTTGTCCCATGGTGCCTCTGAAGGCTTCACACACACGCAAGACGAGTGTGACATAAACCCGCTAAAAAGAAAACAATAGGCATGATGAGGAGTCAAAGTGAGCCCCCTGGGTTTGATATCTGGGATGTGCAAAGATCTCTAATTTCTGAGGGGTGAAATATGTTCTGCTTAATAAAAATGGTTTTGAGTAAAAAAAAATAATAAAAAAAATCAGTTTTCTGTGAAAATATGAAATGTAAATTTAGCTTGTTAAGAGATTTGGCAATTTTGTATTATCGCACTAAAGGATGAACTGGATGGGAATTTAGGATTAGTGAGGAAACGCTAGCAGCAGACATGTGCTAAGTGATCTGTTGATGCTGTTCTGTCTGTAGAGGGGTCTGTATGCGGAGGTCGCGTTGTTTTGTTTGTGAAGAGCTCCTCACTGTGAAGAGAGGCAGGGGCAGCTCCTGGATCACATTTGGAGGAGAATGCTGAAGCCTGAGCAGCGAGGATCTCTACAGACAAACCCCCCCCTCCCCCCCTCTTCCTCACGCAGACCTCCTCATATGTATGCAAACGTCTTCTGAGTGGCTTTCCTCAAACTGTAAAAACAGGACATGATTTTTGGAAAGACTGGAAAATAACTACACCAGTCCACGCTGTAGAAACAACCATTCCACTCCCATTGGAGGACAGAATAAAAATGAAACATCTTGCTTCTAAGTGTAGCTGACAAGGTGGTTCATTAATCTTGCACATCCCTGTTTTCACTAAATCTTTGGTCCTTTTTACTGGTGATCAAAGACAACATTAACATTTAATGATGTTGATAAATGCATAAACCTATAATTTCTGATTAGCCTTTTCATTCCAATACAGTTCTTCGGCTAATAAAGAATTCCACTGCTTAACTGATCCTTCTTATCTTCGCTTCTTTGCCACGTTTTCTTTCTTCCTCTTCCTGTGTGTACTGGATGTGGTGATCTGCTGCTCAAGCTCCTGCTAGTGTAGCTACTGTGAGCCTAATGTGACCTGTTGATGTAGCACTGCTGCATGTAACCCTGCACCAGAGGCAGAGCTGTCGGAACAATACTCTGTTATAAGATTAAATACTGGAGCCTTCCTTATCGAGAGGGCAATTGGTTTGAATAATGGAGGCGAGAGAAGGAACTATTTGCTTTCTAGCTGAGAGTTGGATGGGATTATCGATAGTATTACTCTTATATTTGTGTTTATATGAAGCTACAGCCGCTTAGCTTAGCATAAAGACTGGAAACGGTGGGAAACTGCTAGCCGGTCAGCTAGTCATTGCGACGGTAACAAAGTCCGTCAATCAACACCAATAAAACTAATAATCGATACTTTGTATGTCGTTTGTTTATTCCGTAAAAACATAAGTATAAGATCGATATGCCGTTTTAATAAGGGTTGTGTGCGGTAGTAACTTGTATCCAGTGGTTGCCTGGCAACAGAAGCGCAATTATTTGTGAAGACACTTGGTTTTTATGTAAAGTCTTCACGGTAAAATGTTTAGAAAATGATTAATAAATAAAGATTATTCCCTGTTAAATTATAACATTTACTAAAAAAAAAAAAAAAAACTTTTGTTAAAGAGATGATTGACTTAATTTCGTCGTTTCCATGGCAACTGTTTGCATTCCAGCTATGTGACAGAAGCATTGACATAAAAACAATATATTATTTTATCAATAATTTTATATATATTTAACGTCTCAATGCTAAGCTAACTGGCTGCTGGCCTCAGCTACACAAACTTGAGTGTTATCAATCTTCTCATCTAACTTGTGTAAAGAAAGCAAACAAGCGCATTTCCCAAAATATCAAGCCTATTGCTTTTACATTGCTGTGTCCTTTGTTGGTTGGCTGGTGCGTTCAGACAGCTCTGTTCATTGGTTGTAGAAAGGCTGGTTTTGTGGTGTGTGTGATGCTATTTGAAGGAGGTTTACGTCCTCCTTCTTCTGTAAATGCATTGGGATTGTGGCAGACTAGGATGTCCCAAAGGAGAAAAACCCCTCTCTCTTTCAGGGAATATTACTCTTGTCTCCCTTTGGTGTGTGCCCCCTTTACAAAGGTCTTATTTTTATTTTTTATTTTCTACAAGCTGTCTTCTCTATCCTGACTTCTGAGGCAAAGACTTTGGGTGGAGAATCAGCTAATTTTGTAGTACAATTTGGCATGGCTAATGAAGATGCCAATGTGTTAAATGTTTTAGCTGAAGCCAAAAAAATGGAGACATTTGTCAGTACAATCTGGCTCGATAAACCAGCCTCCTTTTGTTGGTCCAACACTGTGTTGCCAACTGAAAATGATGCTATAGTCTCTTCAGGATCACGCTATGACATGCCAGACCATAAAATGTAAATTAAAAAACATCTTCCCTTCCTTGGT